CCTCAGTGACCTCTACCTGGCAAGCCAGTTAGTTCTAGGAGTTCACAGTCCTCTAGAACCTCTGCAGCAGGCAGCCATTCTCTCAGGCAACGAATGCTGGGCCTCTGGCCTCAAAACCCTTGCTCATCTCCCTTACAACACTTGACCTCTTGGGTTTTCCAAGTGTACTGGGTTGAACAGTGATCTCCCAGGAATTATGCCCTTCCAGGAACCTCATTATGTGACCTTATTTGGAAATAGGGTCTTTGTAATTAGTTACGATGAAGTAGGACAGGGGAGGCCGAAATCCAATAAGGCTGATGCTCTGATAATATATTCAAACAGACATAGAAAACAATGTCACAAGAAGTTGGTGGCCAAGATGAGTTATACAGTTGTGGAAGCCAAGGAATACAAGGGATTGCTAGCAATTATCATAAGTTTTAAGAGGCAAGGGAAATGTCTTTTTTAGACCCTTCAGAGCGAGTACTGCCCTGCCAACACTTATTTCCAAGTACTAAAGAGCAATGGCATCACTCTGGAGACTAAGGTCCGTCTGATACAGGTCATGGTCTTTGCAATCACTTGTTATGCATCAGAGAGTTGGACAATGACTAGGGATGATAGAACTGATGCCTTTTTGAACTGTGGTGCTGGAGAAGAGTATTGAGGGTACCATGAACTGCTAAGAAAACAAACAGGTTCATCCTGGAGAGGGTTAAACCAGGTTACTCCTTGGAGGCAAGGATTCCGGGGCTTCGGACATGTTGTAAGGAGAGACGGATGAATTGATTCAGTGACTGGGAGGTCACTGTTTGTCCGAGACAGTGAGGGGAAGACCCTCTATGAGATGGATTGATTCAGTGACTGGGAGGTGTGTTTGTCCTAGACAGTGAGATTGTCACAGGACAGAGCAGGTTTTAGGGCTGTTGTACATAGGGTCGCTATGAGGTGCAAGTGACTCGGATGGCACATAACAACCACCACCTGCAGAATCAATTTATGTTGTCTCAAGGCATCTCAATTGTGGTATTTTTGTTATGAAAATGCAGGAAGAGAATACCCCAGATGAGTGGGCCTCTGTCCCTTAACTCAACCCCTAATTGATGCACAGTCTTCATTTCCACTAACAATGCTCCTTGAGATAATCACCACTTATCTCTTCATTGGCCAC